TCTTTTCTTTTAAATTGCAAAAAAAATTGTCGAAATGAATTTTCTATTTTTGGAGAGACACTAATTTATTAAAAGAATTAAAAAGTAAAAAAAAAAGAAAAAGTAGAAGAAAGTGTAAAAAAATAATAATCAAAGGAAAAAAAAATTGATAATCGTAGTAAAAAAATATTAATCTTGCATTTAAAAATAAAATGGCTTTTAATAGAAAATAAATAAATAAAAAAATTTATGGGTATATATAATATTTAATTTTTATGGTAGTACAACTTGAGAATAATGATGACCTATCTCTTTTTCTTCGTCAATTTAAAAACGCAACGAAGCGATGCTGCTTTCTTGAATATCAAAGGCTATGAAGCGAAAAACTGTTTCTTTATCATAAATATTTTTCAACGACGCTGACGTTCTATAGTGTAGATAAAAATCAATTTTTATAATAGAATTCTTTTCAACAAGAGAGAAGGAGAGAGAGAGAGAAAAAATATTCTGCAAATTATTGCTTCTTATAATGAATTGTTTTTTTAACCAGTTTTCTATGCAACCGATTTTTCACTTTTTTTTCTTAAATAGTTTTCTATGCAATCGATTTTTGATTAAAGTATAAAAACAAATTTGATAAAAAATGTTCTATTCATAGGGAAATAAATTTTGAACTAAAGGAAATAAATTTGGAAATAAAGGAAATAAATTTCGAAATAAAGAAAATAAATTTGGAAATAAATTTAAAAAAAAAATTTTAATTAAATATAAAATATAAATCAACAAGTGGAATTTAATTCAAAACGAAATATTAAAATTTAGTTGGAAAAAATCAATGGTTACAATAAATTAAACAAGTTGAAAATACAATTTTAACCCCTTAAGTAGCAAATGTCAAGATTTGATCAGACAAACAGTGATAAATTTTTGCGAGAGACTTTTATTCTCTAAGTAGAAAAATATGTTGGGTAAGACGACGAAATTCGCATTTCAAGTAGAAAAATAGCGTCGAGTACCACGAAATTCTGTTAAGTAGAAAAAATGACAAAAGTCTTATGGACCTTAACTTGGAAATTACAAAAATAATAGTGATAATTCAGAAGAGCAGTTTAAATTGAAGAGGTCTTATTTATAAATGTATATGGAAAGGGCGAGAGAGAGAGAGAGAGAGAGAGAGAGAGAGAGAGAGAGAGAGAGAGAGAGAGAGAGAGAGAGAGAGAGAGAGAGAGAGAGAGAGGAAGAATTAATTTTTCATGTGCGGCAATATGTGTCAAGACAAATAAAAACAGAAAAACGAATCCGTAAAAAATCCATATTTCAAGTAGAAAATGTTACTTCCTGCCAGACAAATGAAACTAAAATCGGAGAGAGGGAACACTTTCATTTCATAAAAATAGAAAAATATGACAAGTCAGAGAAAACTTTTTCTCCTGTCAATAAAAGAAAGAGAAATAAGTAATTCAAAATATTATTTATGTGAAATTTATTTATTTTATCTGTAAATAAAAAAAAGTTTCGAAATAAGGAGAAAATTCAATTTCTTACTTAATGTAAATTAATAGCAACAATATAATGGTTGGAAAAATATAATGACAGTAAAATAACTACTGACATATATTAAAATTACTTCCTTTTACTACTTTTTTTTACTACTTTTACTTTCTATTACTACTGAGTAATAAATTTCGTGTCTGATTATAAACTGACTTTTACTACTGATACAAAATTTGTGTGCATTTCTAAGTCTATTTTTCTTTTATTATTTATAAAGCCTGACTTTCTTTTAGTACTGTTATAAATTCCCTGTCTGATTATAAACTGACTTTTACTACTGAGACAAAATTTACTTGAATATCTGCGAATTTAACAGTATTTTAATAGAATTATTAAAATTTAAATAAAAAGTATTATAAAAAAAATAAAAAAGAGCCTAATTTAAAAAGATATTTTTACTACTGTTCTAAATTCCACGTCTGACTAAAAACTGACTTTTGCTACTAATACCTATTTTTTAACAATTAAATTAAACTGTATTTAAGTAATTAATGCAACTGTATACTAAATCACTAATATAATAATAATAATAATAATAAATAATAATAATAATAATAATAATAATAAATAATACTAATATCATTTTATTTTATAATTTTAGAACAAAATTAAATTTTAATATTATCAAAATTTTGGCAAAGTGTAAAGTTTAACTAAAATATTCCTTTAATAACCGATAAAAATTCCATGTCTTACTAAAAACTTACTTTTACTACTAATTCAAATTTTTATATCAATTTCTAAGTACTATAGTAAATGTATTTAACTACAATAATATCAAAATTGTAGAACAAAGTATAAATTTCGAATAATAACCTTTATTTTATTACTCATACAAAGTTTATGTCTGACTATAAATTGACCTTTACTACTTAAATAAACTATTATTTAAATTTCTTACTATTATTGCAATTTATTTTTACTAAAAATCATAATATTTAAAAATAAGTCAAAATACTAAGGAGAATACTTTGGCCAGTAATTCCATGTCTGACTATAAATTGACTATTACTACTGCAATTAAAACTCTATGACTAACTAAAAATTAATTTTTTGCTACTAATTCAAAATTTTTCCAAAGTTTCTTATTATTATTGTAGTTTTCCTATTCTAACAACTTTTAAAAATGAGAATCAAGTATTAAAACATTCTTCTACTACTGATACAAATTCTATGTTTGACTATAAAATTACTTTTATCACTAGTGAAAAATTTTCTTAAATTTCTTAATATTATTGTAATTATACAACTATCACAATAATGAAAAATGAGTTTAAAGTCTAATTATAATATTTCCCAGAATATTTAGGTGCGACAAAAATTCAATGTCTGACTATAAATTGACTTTTACTACTGATACAAATTTCATGTCTGACTATAAATGTACTTTTATTATTTACACGAAATATCCCTTCAATTTTTTTGTATTAGTATTTTATTATTTTATTTTGCAAGTGTTAAAAAAAATTTCTACTGATGTAAATTTTATGTCTGACTAAAAACTGACTTTTAACTACTAATACGAAAACTTTCACTATTTTCTAACTACTATTGATACTGTATTTAACAACTAATAGCATAACTTAAGAAAGAAGTGTAAACACTTTTTTTTACAACTCATAAAAAATTGTGTGTCTGACTATAAATTGACCTTTACTACTGATAACAATTCTATGTCTGATTATAAATGGATTTTCACTACTTATTCAAAATTTTTTCCAAATTTTCTTATTATTGTAATTTTCCAATCCTAATAATTTTTAAAAATTGGTATAAAGTATTAAAACATTCTTTCACTACTGACACCAATTCCATGTCTGTCTAAAAACTGACTTTTACTACTTATACCAAATTTTTTCTATTTCTAAGTACTATTCAAATTCCATGTCTGACTATAAATTGACTCTTACTACTTATATGAAATTTCCCTGAATTTATCAGTAACTATTGTATATTATTATTTTATTTTAATAATAAAAAAATTAAATAATGCATTTCAATCTGTTCTCTGTTTGCAAAATTCTTTCACTACTAATGTTATTTCAGTCAACTCTATAAATTTTAATCAATAAAAATTTTTATTAATTTAAATTAGTGACAGACCTTTTGCTTTTGAATTAGTAAATTTTACTAATAAATAGTAATTTTTACTGATTAGTAGAAATTATTTTATTAGTAAAATTTACTAATTTAAAAGATTCTACTAACTAGTAGAGATTACTATCTATTAGTAAAATTTACTAATTCAATGGCAAAAAGTCAGTCAATTAAAAAAATTTAATTAGTAAATTTTACAAACTTAATTTTTAAAATTTACAATTTTACAATTTAGTAAATTTTACTGATAAATAGTAATTTCTACTAATTAGTAGATATTTATTCTTATTTTTATTTATTATAAATTTTGTTATTCTCTCTAAATTCGAATTAGTAATTAAATGTTTACTAATTTGAATTAGTAGCTGACTTTTTGCTTTTGAATTAGTAAATTTTACTAATAAATAGTAATTTTTACTAATTATCAGAAATTATTATTTATTAGTAAAATTTACTAATTTCAAAGATTCTACTAACTAGTAGAGATTACTATCTATTAGTAAAATTTACTAATTCAAAAGCAAAAAGTCAGTCACTAATTCAAATTTAGGGAAAACAACAGAAATTATAATAAATAAAAAGAAGAATAAATAGCTAAATAACACTAATAAAAAACTGTAAATAATTACAATAACAAAAGATAAAAACTAAATAACAAAATCACAATTAAGAAATGAATAAATAAAAAGAAATAAGAAAAAAATAATTTTAAAAAAGTCTGACTATAAACTAATTGTTACTACTTATTTTTATCTATTTCATTATTAGCAAACACTACGACATTCAGCGCCAAAGAGCATATAAAAAATTATACATTGAAAAAAAAAGTTTCGAAATTCATACACTGAAGTCATCTTAATTTTTCTTTTAATAATCCCCTATATGTAAGTATATTATATATAAAAAATCCTCCTCGTTCGTTAACCTTCCAGCTGTTTTTTTTTCCCAATTAAAAGTAGATTTCAAAAAAAAAAAAGAAAACTCGACATGTGGAAGAGAAAAAAGAAAAAAATTGACATTCTCAAGTAATATAATCTCTCGAGGGCAAAATAACGACACGAGCTCGTACTATGTAAAAAGCATCTATTCTGAATGAAGAAAGAACGATTGCCAAAGATGTGCAAATAAATGAGGATAAGAGAACTAAAAGAGAGTGTGAGAGAAAGAGAGAAAGAGGAAACAGTGAAAAAGTATTATGAAAAAAAAGGCGGGCTTTTAAGAAAACGCGTCTCTTTTCACCCTTCTCGTGTTTTTCGTCATCGTTCTCGTATATTTTCCTTTTTTTTTCTTTTTTTTTTCTTTTTCGCTCGTTGGAAAAGCGGCGTCTGCGCATTACGTTCACTTTACGTTTGCGTCTTTTCAACGTCGACGTCGACGCAAAAACTCCCCCCTCTCTCTCTCGCTCACTCACTCCCCCCACCCCTTTTCTCAGTTTGACTGTAAACGAAGATGAGCTCAGTGCTCGACGAACAGCGCTGCGACGGGACCATGCCGCCGCGCCCTGCATCTCGAAAAATCCGATTCCAGGTAAAAAGAAAAGAAAAGTTATCGAGATCAATCACATAATAATTCTTCGTTCACCAATCTTAATTTTTGAAAAAACCCGGTGCTGATGAAATGAAAAAAAAAGTGCGCGACAATCTTTGGCCCTTCTTTTTTTTCTGTTTAGCAATATCGGAATGAAATTGTTACTATATACACTATAAAAAAAAGGTTTTAAATTAGAGCTGATTTCGGTACTAAAATAGAACCAAATTACGATTTAGTACCAATTTTGGTACTAAATTAGTTAGTACCTATCTTTTTACAGTGTACGTGAATTTTTGGAGGAAAAACAATTATTGTTTGGAAAATATGACGACAATTAAAAAAATAGAAATTGTCAATTAAAACAAAGTTGGGAAAAGGAGTAAAAAATTGTTTTTTTACTACTATCAAGTGGACAATAATAAGTAAAGGTACATTTTGAGACACATGATAAGGATAATGAGACGGTGTGCTCATGATTTTTACCCTCTTTTCATTTTCCTTACAATTTCTCTTTACTATTAGTTTTGCGAATTATTTTTCTCTTCTGGTTTTGTTTCAATAACAAGCATCGAGTGTTTTATTGTTCGAAAATTGAAAATCTAGGTTAAAATTGTACAAGATTTTAATCACATGGACTTTGTTTGTTTTCCTTTTTTTTTGGGAAGGAAAGTTAATTTTAAAAGTGAACCAATAAATTTGTTTGTTTTTTGACTATTTGAATAATAATAATATTAATGTCATTAATATGAATGTCAATAATTTTAATATCAGTAGTTTTAATAATTTTAATATTAGTAATATTAATGTTAATTTCGCTGTTAATTTCAATTCTTAATATTTCTCTAAATTTGAATTAGTGTCTGACTTTTTGATTTTTAATTAGTAAATTTTACTAATAAATTACTAGAAATTACTATTTTACAGTAAATTTTACCACTTTCAAGTTTCAACATTTTATTCTCCTCTCTCTAAATTTTAATTAGTAAATTTTTTTATTAATTTAAATTAGTGACAGACTTTTTGCTTTTGATTTAGTAAATTTTACTAATAAAGAGTAATTTCTACTAATTTATTAGTTAAATTTACTGCTCTTTAAATTTACTACTCCAACTCTAAATTTTAATTAGTAAAATTTTTTATTAATTTAAATTAGTGACAGAGTTTTTGCTTTTGAATTAGTAAATTTTGCTAATAATGAGTAATTTCTACTAATTTATCAGTAAAATTTAGCAATTCAAAAACAAAAAGTTAGGCACTAATTCATATTAGTAAACATTTTTATTTACTAATTAAAATTTAGAGAGACTATTTCACTCTTTTTTTTGTCTAAATTTGAAATAGTTAAAAATAGCTAATTTGGTAGTAAAAAGAAAAACTCAGGCATTTATTCAAATAGTATTATTATACCAATTAAATAGTAAATAATAAATAATTATTAGTTAAATTCACTTTCAGTTTTAGTTAAATTAACCAAAACTTTTTTTAACGAATTGAATTAGTCGAGTTTGAATATTTTATTAGTTATTTATTTACTAATAATTAGTTATTTTGTTCTAATAATTACTTATTTTCTACTAATAATTATTTTAAAATTATTTTTTATAATTATTTTCTCCTAATAATTAGTTTTTTTTACCAAGTGCTAAAGAAAATAGTCTTCCAACATTTTACTAACAATTAGTCGTTTTTAACTAATTTAGATTTAGAGAGATATTATTTAAATTATTATTATTATTCATAATATAAATTATAACATGAATGGTATTTGAAATATTATTATATATACGTATTAATACTATTGGAAAAATTAATAATAATATAATATTTAACAAAAAAAAATTAGTTGCGTTCCTACTATTTTTGATTAAAAGTTTGTTATATTGAAAAGAAAATTTTATTTTCTTTTATTTTATATTGGAATTTCTATTGTTAGCTTAAAAAAATTTTCCAACCTGTTTAACACAATATGATTTAATTAAAAAAAAATTTTTCCACGCAAAACGTAATTTTACTTACAGATGATTGATTTTTTAAAGAATAATAAACGTATTTAATAATTATTTAAACTTTTTAGTATTTTTCCCATTCTTTATATATATATAATATTTTCATATTTTTTATTGTTATTTTTATTTTATTTTAACCAAAATTTTGAACAATGGAATAAATGAATATTTTTTTCGTTTTTAACTATTTTCGATAATTACAAAAATAAAATTAAAAATTAAAATAAATTCAACATTTCTAGAGAAAGGAATCAATTTTCTAAATTAACAGATAAGTACCTATTTTTCTAACAAAATCAAAATTTTATTGATATATTAAAAATATCGTCGTTCATTCGAATGTTTGAATCTTTAGGGACATTTTACTTTCATTACAAAAAAAAAAAAAATTAAAAATAGATAAGTATTTAGATTGGAAAAAATTATTTGCCTCAATCAATTGATAGTAAATAAATTATTTTTTATTGTATAATTGTTTTGTTTGAAAATAATTAAAAATATTTTATCATTCTCTAAATTAAATTTACAGTAAATTAAAAAAAAATTTACTCCTTTTTTTGACAATAATTAATGTTCATTACTTTTTTAATAGACTTTCTGCTAATAATTAATTCGTATTAATTTTTTAATACACATTTCTGACAAAAAATGCCCATTAATTTTTTAATATATAGCCACTTTCGCATACTCATTTTAATTAAATAGTTTTCCATTCATTCAAACAAAGAAACCATTAACAAAATCTAATCTAAAAATAGATAAAAATTTTTTCCAACTAGGGGGAAAAAAAAAATTACTAATCTCCCTTTATTCAAAAATCAATAACTTCCTTCATTCAATAATTTCATTTCACCCTTAAATATTTGTTCTCCCTTCAATCTCTATATAATTTCTCACCAAATAAATTTTCAAAATAAAAACGAAAATAATCAAAAAAAGTCACGTAGTAACAATTTAATACAGAAAAAGAAAATTCAAACCACTTCCCTTGTTAACATCTGAATTTAATTAAAAATTTTTACCCAAAAATTTCAACAACAAAAACTTTGACAATTTAAGAATTTCAAAGAAAAAGGAATTTCAGTTATTTCACGACAGTTCTATTTCAAAAAATAAAAAGAACTAAGGAAATCAAATAAATAAAAGAATTTTAATATATATTTTTTATATTGTATTTTACTTTATAAAAATAAAGAAAGAAAAAGAATAAAAAATATAATAATATAAAAGAAAAAGAAGGGCAAAAGTATTTGAAAGTTATTTATAAAACGTATAAATATATATATATATGTAAATCGAAAAAACGAAGGTACGTGAGGAATTTGTTTGAATAAAGAAGAATGAATCACTGATGAATGATGTATAATAAAATTTCACAAAAAAAAAGATATCTGAAAAAATGACAGCTAAAAAGGTATGTCTCTTTTTTTTCTTTTTCTATATCTATCTCTATCTTTCTATTTTTCTCTCTCTCTCTCTTTCTCTCCCTTGTTCTCCTGTGGGTGGAGAGAGAGAGGGGGTTGAAACATCCCCTTTATAACGTCGGACCACGTGAACGCTTAGGTAGATCACGATGGAAACGGAGCGCGATAATGAAAATGCAACACGACCTCCGAGGTGTCCGACGTCCCGGAAATACTGGATAGAAATGAGAAAAGAGGGAAGTTTACGTTAACGGAAACTTTCGAATCAAGCTGAGAGAAACATAATCATACACTAGGGCAAGTTTCAGTGTTACGGATTCTCAAATTAAAACAAAGAGAAAAAAACAAGAAGAAAATAAAAGTATTTTTCAAGATTTTCGCGTGGGCGAAATTTAAACAAAAAAAAAATTGCTTTTCTTTACAATAAAATCTTTCTTTTTTTAAGTCAGTGCAGTAAACGTGAGGGCTGTGATTTACAAAAATAAATAATGAATTTCTCCTTTTTTTTGGATAAACAAAAAAATATTATTTCGGTCAATAAAGGCAAACTAAATATTTTTTCAATTATTATTATTATTATCATTATTAATAAAATAAATAATACATGTAGAGAAAAGATATATTTGACTTAGAACCAACTAGAATTTTTATTTGTTTCAAATGAATATTATTTGGTTAAAATAAAATTTTATTTAAGTCGAATAAAATTTTTATTTAAAAAAAATAAATAACTTAGTTGATTCTGAGACAAATAAACATTTATTATAATTAACTATAATAATTTGAATGTTCTTTCATTCTTTCTTTCATTCATTCACTTTTTCTGTCCGTCACACTCTGAAGTTGTCTTTTGTTTATACTTTTGTTTTTTGTTATCTTTAGATAGATTGTATATTATATTATTATGTTATAATTATTTTTATTTTACAATTAATTCAAAATTGTAATAACAAATAAAAATCATCAGAATTTTTTTCAATTCTTTTTATTAAATGACTAAAATTTTGTTAAATATTATGTTTTGTCAAATTGAAATTATGCAGATTTTTGTTCTTTACTTCTAAACAAAATTAGAAAATTGTTAAACAATTGTGATTAAGAAATAGAAAATTCATTTATTTTGCATTATTTTTCTTTATGAATCACAATTTTTTTAACAAAATTATTATTTTCTTTTTGGAAAAAGAAGAAAAATATTTGCACAATTTCTATTTTTAATCTTACTTTTGGAACAGGATTTTCCACAGGAATTAAGACATTCAAAAATTTTTAAATTCAAACCTTTTTTAAACTAAACAACTTATAAAAGTATTGTTAGAAAACATGAAGATATCGATTGCTCCGAGTCGAAGACTCATGTTTTCTAATAATTAAAATATGACCGAGAGATAAAATCATTATTTTATATTATAAGAATATTGTTACTGTAACTTCATCAAAATTATTTTCATCATTTTAATTCAATTATTATTTTCTAGAATTTTAAATTATTTTTTATGAAAATAATAATTGAATTCCTTAAAAAAATTTTATTATTTATGAAAATAATTGAATTCCTGTGAAATTT